TGAAAGTTTACAGATAACATATCTAACCCTATCATACCCTAACCCACAGCGTCATGGAACCTGGCGACACTTTGATTCATTTAGTTTCTGTTCACACATTGTCAGATTCAAAGACATGCTACTTTGCCTCTTTACCTTGAAAGATCATTATTAAAATGACAGGACTGCGGCTGTCCTTGCTCTCATCATGCCTAACCCACAGGCCTGCCTGTGGTTGATAGAGTAAGGACTGAAACGTGCTAATGTCGACCTTTCTCTATACATAAACTTCAAAGACAAACATGGGTGAATGATATGAGAGTGGATTCCCAGACCAGTTCACTAATCCACTAAATCACCAGGATACCCCATTCAGTAGGAAATCGTCTTTGTTCCCAAGGTCTCCCTTTGTATTGTTTTTGAGGATAAATGATTGGATATCCCTTCTTTGTCCTGTTAACAAGACTGGTGGAAAACACAGCCATAAGAAAAATGGGGTTATTTTTCTTCACTAATTACTTGAGACAACAATCACAGAGAAGTTACAGACAGACCCCCAGAAAATAGTGGAAAATCTTGAACCATTCACCACAACATTGAGTTGATTGGTGGCTCTGTTGTGCTGGGCAAGGGCATTTTGTTGGCATGGGTCTACTTCCTCTAGATCAGTGGTTCTTAACCTTGTTGGAGGTACCGAGCCCCACCAGTTTCATATGTGCTTTCACTGAACCCCTCTTTAGTGAAAAATAAAATATGATTTTTTCTAATTGAAGACATAGATATGTTTTTAACTGGTGCACAAAATGAGCCATGCATGTCACGGTGGAGGCTCTGCCGAACCCCTGAGACCGACTCACCGAACCCCTAAGGGTTCGATTGAACCCGGGTTAAGAACCACTGCTCTAGATGAAAGATCACTGAAGTTCAGTTTGAGAAATACGGGGAGCAAAGGAGAGTTGGGATTTGGATCTGCCATTAACTATAATTCTGATTAGTTTGTAATAATAGGTCATTTAATATATCATCTAGGTTTAAAATGTTTGATATATGAGATTTCAAACTGCTACACAGCAGCAAAACAGCTATGTGCTATGTACAGGTAGTGGGGCTATCCTTAGCATTAGCTGAAATTGAAGTTGCGCTATATCCTACTGTGTAGGATATAGCGCTATATCCTACTGTGTAGGATATAGCTGCTACATGTGCTGCTACATGTGCAGCAGTTAATTTCGTGTCAAGCTGTTGGCAGCCACCACATGAAAAAACAGATTAAACATGACCTTTGCACAAAGAGAACAAACTTTCACTTTATTTTTAAACATGCTAGTTAGCCTGCTAGCTAGTTAGCCTGCTAGCTTGACCACTTGATAGCTTGAAGTAGTTGACTTTCTAGACTGAAGAAATAAATAACAAGTTCTCACTAAGCTAATATTATCTACATAACTCCATAAACATAATAGCAAAGGTGGAAAACCTTTTCCTTCCACTATCACCTCACTTGACATATACTTCACATTCACCAAGGATAACTTCACTCCACTACTTATCTTGTGTATTCAGTGGCTGCTTTCTTTGTTTTATCCTCCCTGTGTAGATAACACTAAGGAAACAGGCTTTCAGTATTTCCATTCTGCAAGTGGAGTTGCACAAAGAGTGTAAAGAGATACACGTTAAGCTATTAGCCGGAGCTTCGAAAGGTTACCTCCATGTAGTAACTTTAACTTGGAATATATTTAACTTGGAGGACCTTATAAATTCACTCTTAAGTTTTTCCAAGTTAAATATATTTGGCATTCCCTATATGGTCGTGTGGGTTGAAATAAGTGCTACCTAGGGACAAGAAAGCTATAAACACTCAGATAGCCACAAGAGAGTCATTAGTTTTTGATAATATGCAGTTTTTATGAGAAAATAAGGCTGAATGTTGGCATATGAAGGTCAGTTCAGGTTTGAATTGCTTTGTAGTCCGAATTAACTGACAGATTGGTTGCTGAAAATCTTATCTTTGTTTTCTTAGAAGAGATAATGATACAATAAATAGTTTTAAAGTGTTTTTGTCGATATGTTATTGACTCCATTTACATATAGAGTATTTAAACATACTTCACTGAAGAGGTATGTGCCACCCTGCATGGACCTCTTGGTACTCCTTTGAAGCTGGGCAACATGTTGGCGTCACTGGACAAAATCCACAATAACCTTTCAGCACATTTTTAATCAAATAACCCGGGAGAGATCTACATTCCTGCACCTTCAGGCTTTAGAAATAAAGTTTTTGGGGATTCAGCTTGAGCCAATCACAGGTGTTTGACAGAGAAAGGCTTTCAGTTCGGGATGTACTGCAATCCACAGTGTTGGAAAGAGCTTTCATCCTGGAAAGTGGCCATAGACATTGGAAGCACCACTGCACTTTGGACAGTTTGGGGGGTTAAATAGAAAGAAAAGAGCTGCAGGACGTGGTTTTTGTAAATTTAAATCACATTCTGGTGATTTTTCTTAACTGACTATTTTCCCTCATATAGGTCTGTGAAGGTTCTCAGTCATCCAGCTCATCGTAGTCTAAGGAGCTTGGAAAGAAAAGCGTCTGCACTTCTTTAAGTTACTTGAAGACGTTTCACCTCTCATCCTGAAGAAGCTTCTCGGATGACAAAGACACTTTTCCTTCCAAGCTCCTTAGACTTTCCTGGTATGACTTTTCCACAGGTCTAAGCATAATATGCTGTCTATACACTTTAAATTGCTTTTAGGACATCCAATCGTGTGGTATTGCTAACAAAAGACAAAGGCTGTCATGACTGTGTGTTGACTGTTTGTGTTTTCCTGTTGTGTAACGGTACCACCACAACACCTTCTTCCATGACTCACATTAGCATAACATCCCTCTGATGGGATATGACTCAACGTGAGGTTTAAGTGTTCTCAAATTGAGTCCACGTTTTCCACTCTAGAGGTTTTGTGCCTCCACTCCAACTTTTGCTTTCGTTACATTTACCTGACAGCATGTGTTAACAGGCAGATTTAGATGTTGTTGCCTACAACAAATGAGCTTATTAAATATTATGAGATAAATCCCGAACATCCACACCAAATGGGTGTGGATGCAGGTGCATGTCGCCATAAATAAGAAAACAGCTCACACCACAGAGTTACGTACTTTTTGGTGTTACTTGTGTATTTTTGTACCATTTCCCTCTCACCTCTCACATTATGCCACTATCTTCCCAGTACCAGTGGAATTATGAGATTTTATATAAACTATTATTGCTCCTGTATCTCCGTAGCAGCTTGTTTTACACTCTGTCGTAGCTTTGAATGCCTTGAAATGAGCAGATGTGTTAAAGCTGTTTAATTTCCCCACATATGTGCTGTTAATCAGTCACATCCTTCTAATTATCATGAAATCGTCATTATTTTAATCTTACAATCATTTTAAAATGAGGGTTTTTTTAATATAAACACAGCTTACATTGATATGTAATTCTACATTTTGGCCTGCTGACTGGCAGTAAGGATGCTATTACACCCTCACAGCAGCTGCGTCTCTGCATGTCTGTGACTCCTTGAACCGCCCATGACATGAAGTCGACGGTCCATCGATGGGAGGAGCCGAGAAGCAGAAAGTGTATGCTGCGGCTTGTTTGTGTTTGCCCGTGATTGTGATGCAGTTAAACGGAGCTCGTGCTCGTTGAGGTTTTTATTGTCTCATTTACTTCCTGTTTTTCTTAATACTCTTATATGAGCTTGAAAAACTGCAACCATATAAACTTCCTCACGCTGCACCAAATTGCCGCTGCTTTTTATTTTCATCGCAGAGCTTTTTGCTCACGTCACATGTGTTCTCATTTTGGGTCTGGACCCAGATGGCCATTATTTGCCATTTTGCATCTGACTTTCCCTGGGGATAGGAAGAGAAGGAAAGAAAGGGGGGAGAAAAACCCAGAACGCCTCCTCATTCATTCCCAAATGCTTTACAGATAGTCACAGGAGTATAAAGCCTGTTTCGGTGCCTTTTGTTCACTTAGTCACTTACCACTTTGAGCTTTTCTTATGATAAAAAGAAGAGAGGCCGCTTTGCAGAAGAGATACAGGGGAAAAATCACAATATAGCAAATCCAATAAACTAATTTTAGTTAATATTATTCTTTACGGCCTGTTTGTTTGTAGTGCAACCGTCAGTACACTTCCTGCAGGTGTGTGTTTACTATAAAGACGGAAAAGAAAAGAAGCTGACAAGCGTAAAGTACAGAGAAAAATACAAGAAAGTAAATGTCACATGCAGATTGTTTCTTTGGAAAAATGTCTGGGAGGATAAACCACAGCCAAAAAACCCCAAAAAACCTACAGTCTCTAGAGTCTCAAGGTCCTCCTTCTCAGTGGGTGTCGTAAGGAGGTCAACCCTCCATTCCTCCACGTTCTTCTTTCCATGAATTTAGCGGCATCATTCTCACTAACTGTCATCAGTGAAGGAACACAGTGCGCCCCGGTGTGTGTCACTCTGCCCTTTCTTGTCCGGTTTATTCATGATTTATTTTGTGTGTGTGTGTAAGCGTGTATTCATATCTTTGTGGGGACCAACGGCCCTTATGGGGACCAAAATCCCCACAAGTTTGAACGGTGGGAACAGGGGTTACAATTAGGTTGGGGTTAGGAATTCATTTTTCATGGTTAGGTTTAGGGTGACGAGCTAGGGAAAGCATTATGTCAATTAGATGTCCCCACAAGATATGAATATACGTGTGTGTGGGAGCGCGATCTGTTCATAGGATGTTGACATGTGGAAGAATTCATCTTGCCCTTTTTTCACGCTCCACCATTAAAATTAGGTCAAGGTCAGGCTGCCTGATAGTGAAAACAAAAGGAAATCAAAGAGAGACGCGATGAAATTAGAGGAAAGCCAGAAGCAAAAGATGCTGGTGGAGTCTTTTGTTGCTTTGACCCTTAAAGCTAGCCCCTATATTCTCAGCAATGAAACAGTGAAACAGTGAAGAATTCGCTTTTTAACTGTGCGTTTATGTTTTCAGCTTCGATGTGGAGAATGGACCCTCTTCTAGCTGCAGCCCCTTGGACCCTCAGGCCTCCCCTGGCTCCGGTCTGGTCCTCCACACCAACTTCCCAGGTCACAACCAGCGCCGAGAGTCCTTCCTCTATCGCTCAGACAGCGACTATGAACTGTCCCCCAAGTCCATGTCACGAAACTCCTCCATCGCCTCTGAACTGTGAGTAGAAATAAATTGCAATTAGTTTGAAATTAGTTCAGTAAGTATGTTTTTTAGGGTCAGGTGTTGAGGTGCTCTCACCTCAAGTGAACTTGATTCTGCAGCTTTTTAACGGTGCAAAATGCCACAGGTTGTTAGACGCAGTCAGTCCTGGTTTGTGTTCATGCATTCCAGGTTTTGCATATCTGGCCTCCACCACAAACACTACTGCTCTCTTCTCTAAAATTATTCTCACTGTGCTGACTGCTTTGCATGTCATAGATCGGAGGAGTCAATTCAGCACAATCATCACTTTACATGTGAGGAAATGTTTTTCGTAATCTGCACTTCCAGTAAATGAAGATGTTTCACTATGCTTGACCTTAGTACATTAAAAGTATTATTTAACTAATACGTGCAGTATGTTGTCATACTGTGCACATAGCTCAGTGGACATCAGCTGACTGACTGAATACACTCCATAGTTACTTAATTAGGTACACTTTGCTATTACCAGGTTCTGTTACTCAGATTCAACAAGGTGCTGCAAACATTCCTGAGATTTTGGTCCATATGGACATGATAGCATCACACACCTACTGCAGATCTGTCAGCTGCACATCCATGATGCGACTCTCCCGCTCCAGCATGTCCCAGAGGCGCTCTGTTGGATTGAAGTCTGGTGACTGTGAAGGCCATTTATGTGTCGTGATCAAGTAATCAGATAATTTGAGATGATCTGACCTATGATGGATGGTAAAGGGATGAACTTGGTCAGGAACAATACTCAAGTAGGATGTGGTGTTTAAATGATGCTCTATGCACCACACCCTTTCATCAGCAGCAGGAGAAAGGACAGATTCTCACCCTGCCACCTAAATGTGGCAGCAGAAATCAAGACTCATCAGATCAGGCACCATCCCATCGTCTGTTATCAGATTTTGGTGAGTTTGTTCAACCTGTTCTTAGCTGACAGGAGCGGCACCGGCTGTGGTCTTCTGCTTCTCATCTCCTTCAGCGTTCAGAGATGCTCTTCCTCATATTTTGGTTGCAGCGATTGCTTATTTGAGTTACTGTTACCATCCTATCTCTTCGACGCAGTCTATCCATTCTCCTCTGACCTCTGGCATCGACGGGGCATTTTTGCCCAGAGAACTGCCGCTCGCTGGATTTTTTCTGTTTATTCCAGAACATTCTCTGTAAACCCAAGAGATGTTTGTGTGGGAAAATTCCCAGCACATCAACAGCTTCTGAAATATTCAGACCAGCCAGTCTGGCACCAACATGATGGCTGGTGGCTGGCAACAGGCTGGCTGGGTATTTATCTTAATGAGCAGTTGAACAGGTGGCCACTGAGTGTTCACCGTAAGTAGTGACGATCACAATGAAATTACTGCAAGAATATTGACAACATTTCCTGAAAAGAGTGTATTGTTAGTCTTGGCTTCATCAAGCCAAAGTGTTTTTTCTGGAAACATCTCTCTTAGATGTTCTCTTCCTGGTCTTGAATGTTATCTGTAGTTGGCACCTTCACTGTTTCTGTCCATGAAGGAGTCTCTCATCTGTAAACTTTGACCACTTCCTTGGGAGCGACTTCTTGACTTGGCTAGTTGTTGTGACATTGAACCTTTTAACTAAGGAAAGAATCCCTCATCCTCCTGGCCTACAGAGGAATATTTTGAGCTGCCTTCCTTATAAGAACAGACCAAATTGTTCATTTGGTCAGTCCTGGAATCTCTTTTCCTACAATGGGTTTATTCAGTTTTTTCGGCCTAACGATGGGCTCCTTCACTGCACTGATTTCATATTTTACCTCGTATCAAGGGTTTCAGTGAACAGCTGCCAAAAACAAATTCTAGAAAACTTTTGTCCAGTTACTTCTGAGTCTGTAATTCCTAAGCAGTTCGTGCCATCTATTTGTTCACCTTCTTATATTAAAGCTGAAAGGCTGCTGAAAGGTTTAACATTACAAAGGTTGTGCCTTTATCCAAAAAACATATGGACCTAACTATATAAGGATCTCCTCACTGACCACATTGTCACAATATTTTTGGACCCACAGAAGAGTCACTTTCTGTCCCCACCTCAGCTAACAAAAATAGGTTGATCTCAATATCGAGGCCTCCTTGACCCAGGTACGCGTTCTCCCACGATACTTTCCTTCCCATTTATTAGGTTGTTGCACAAAGCTGCTTGGGTCATTTCTTATTGCTCTTTCTTAACAGTTCTCTCATTTTCTTGATATATTTTGTATCCAAGCATTTTGCTGACGATGGTTTGTTTCTTTTTAGACATGGTGATGACCTGATCGTAACACCTTTTGCTCAGGTAAATATCCCGTTATCTAGTTGTATGTACACATTTATGTTTTTATGTTAAGCCTATTTTAAGTAAATCTTTCAATAAATACCACGGTTATCAGCATACATGTAAGTAGTTGCAAAACTGAAATTTAAAATGCAGACTTGAAATGTGCATGTGGTGCAAAAAGGGCTCAGTTTGAACAGGACTAGCAACATTCGTCCTAATGTTTAAATTGAAGTAAATAAGTAAAAGTGCAAAGAATGCTACTGATTCGCTCTCTGCTTGTTCAGGTTCTTGCAAGCCTTCGAAGTGTAAGGAATAACTTCACTGTACTGACCAATGTCCAGTGTGCCTCCAACAAGTAAGTACCTCTAGTGGCTTCTAGCATATTTTAAATAATGAGCTGGCATAATTCATGCATACACATCAATCAAGCTGAAATCTACATAACTTACCACATATTTTGTGGTAAGTGTAAATGCTTTTTTCCCAGAATAATATTAGATTTTAGAAAGTAAAAGAATTTAATCAGAATAATGCTTGCCGTCTGCAGTTCCACCAGTTTGTCACAAGGGGGAGGCATTGTCTTGCAGTGGGACTGAAGTGGGATGTTTGACATCAGTGCAGCAGAACAGTTAAACCAGTCCAGTGAAGACCCTACATACTTCAGACAGACAAAAATGAATACAAGCTAGATTTGAAAAGTTAACTCAACACGATGCTACAGCAATAGAGCAATAGGAATAGTTCTCTGCTGTGCACGGCACTGTTCAAATGCTCTATAAGGAATTCCTCTGTTGTCATGAAGCACAAACAGAAAAACACTCCTGCAGCTACACACGCATGAAGTGACTCATTGGCATTCACCGTGCACCACTTCAGGGGCCGCTGCAGCATATATGCGTTTGGCATACGATAACGCAGGAGACTAGTTACAATCTCTCTTCAGATGCCAAGAAGAAAATGTGTCGTTATTTAGTTTTTCAATTTTTTTATGTCTCTCTCTTTCGAAAGGCTAGCTTTTCTTTTTTTCAACAATATACGTGTCGTTTATAGTTATAGTTAAGTAAGAGTGCTCCGTTTTTCAACAGTGTTGCTTTAAGCTGCAGCAGCACACTGAGCATCATCTCTCCCAGTGGAGTGCGACTGCAGATTTAGATGTACTAGAAATATGTATGTAGGCCACCTTTCTTTCTGTTCGTCACTGTGAAGGTTTAAGTATGAATATGTGTTTCTAAAGACACTAAAAGCTCTCTGCTCTGCCTCAGGCTGAATTAACGCTCAGTTTTCTGTATTGACTACCTGAAGCCCGTCTGACCTACATTTAGCTCTGATAGCTCCACACAGACAAGAGCAAAGACTGAGAAGCACACACGGCGCACAAACGTGGATCGTTCACGTATACTGAATTAAACACACACATAAGCTGGAGCTCATCATTCCAGCACACATGCACAGTTTTCACTTAACCCGAGTTCTTATTTGGGTTATTTTTATACTAATCAAGCTCAGTTAAACTTTTTTAAAACATAGGGACGGTGGGTTCATTGTACAGCATAAAACACAACAAAAAAAGTGTAAAATATTTAGCTGAATAGAGAATAATGAGCAGAAAAGCCAAAATGCAACATCCCCATATGAGGACACGGGGCCTCAGGAGGTTAAGATTAATGTCTTTAACGTGTTTCAGCCCACTGGCCACTGCCAAAATACCAACATTTAGTCTGTTTATACTGTGAAACCTCTTTCCTTGACTTTTTCATACACATTCACACAGTTGAGCAAAGAGCAAGAAGGAAACAGTAATGTCCCCATATGAGGACACGGGCTCTCAGGAGGTTAAAACTGATGTGTTTAGCAACATGTTGCAGAACACTGACCAGCTCCACCTAAAAGTATTCAGTCTATTTATACACTGCAACCCCTGCCTTGACTTTTCGAAACTTTTCACACAGTTCAACCAGGAAATGCAACATGTAAACACACAACTAAATGCTTAAAAAACTTACACTTTTTCAGTTTGCTGGTCTAGAGCATTCAGGTGTGTGTTTCCCAGGTGTGGACGCACATGCAGCAACTTCACCCCAAAGTCAGACTGTGCAATGTTCAGAGGAATTGCAGAAAACCCAAGAGCCAGCCACAGCTAGCATTTTAAATGTTCTAAGTTCACAAAAGTATAATTGGAAACAAATGTATGGCAACACAGCTTAGGTTTGCAAAGCTGCATCTGAGCAAACTGCACGACTTCTGGACAGACGAAACCAAAGCGATGGTCCAGTCCAAGTCCAGACCTCGACCTGTTTGAAATGCTGTGGCAGGACCTTAGCAGGCTGTGCATAAACCAACCCCACAAACATCAATGAGTTAAAGCAGCGTTGTAAAGAAGAGTAGGCCAAAATTCCCACACAATGTGTGAGACAGTCATACAGAACACAGTTACTTTAAGTTATCGCAGCTAAAGGTGGTGTACAGCTGATGAATCATGGGGTACTTCGTTTTTCCACAGGACTGCCCGGAGTCCACGCAACGTCCACATATCTATATATTATTGCCAGAGCCTCTAAAATCTGTTAATTTAGTGTGTTTTTTTGTGTTTGGTTTTTAAATTTTCAAGTAAGATTTGCTAGTGTTTCTATATAAATATATATCTGTGGTAGTCTTTGTTTTATAGCATCTTTCTTTCCCCCTTTCTGTGTTGTTTTCGTCCTTCCAGGCGCTCTCCTGCAGCAACAACTCAGCCTCCAGTCACCAGAGTTTGTCTCCCGGGTAAGCAGCTCAGAGAAATGTCCCCCTACATGTTTGACCTGTGCCAAGCTACCAGATACAAAGTTATCTTGTTTTATATCTGGCGCACACATTCAACCTCTCTATTCTCCTTGTTTTCATCATCATCTCCTCCTCCCTCGCTACCTCGCTCTATCTCCTGTCTTCTCCTTGTCCCGTGAATTCGCCTACGTGACCACTTACATTTTCTTTTTTCTTTCTTTTTTTCCCCCCACCATCTGTCTCCATCTCCAGCGTTGTAACCCGGACTATTTTTTCATCAAGCTCATTAACTTTGTTCTATTGCAATTAGACTGGCGGTTGAGACTCACACTTGCACACACAGTTTTTCCTATTAAACCAGCTCGCTTTAAGAAAACAGCAGACCTCCCTTTTCATCTTTCATCGCACTTGATTTTAAGCAGCCGTGTGACTTTCTGTACTGTACTCGTACATGTCCAGGCCAGTAAGAGGCAGTGTGTGAGTACATGTACGGGCGAAGATAACTTTATGTGTGTCTTTGGAAAGTGAAAAGTCCTTTCAGTCCTCTGTGTAGTGCTAAGATTTGTTCTTGTGCACTTGCTCAGCCGAGGTCATTCGCTTCACAGAGGCGCGAGCAGTAATTACGGTTAAAAGCATTTTAAAAAGTGTACACATCGGACATGTGCGCAGGTCTCCTTCAAGTGTCGTTATAAAGCCGTCATGTCACGGCAACCAGCTAAACCAGACAGGAGCTGCACGAGATTAAAAGGAAATGCAGTCTTTGCACACAGTTATATGTCACGTTTGCCATAGGCGATAACTGAATGTGCACTAAAAATGATGTTTTCCCCAAAATATTCATTTTAAGATGCATCAACATTTGTCTTTCATTCTTTTATTAAAAGAGTGAACTATGAGACCTCGCATCTGTAGGCAGATGTTCCCACACTGTCTGCAAAGGGCATTAAAAACAGTCCCAGACAATGTGTTGTTGTATAAAGAGAGACCGAGATGAGCAACAGTGAAACTGAGAATGGCGAGGCAGTTAACCATCAAATAACCAAGATGTTTGACATGAAACCCATTCAGGCCAGATAAGGTATCACGGTTAACCCAGTGAAAATGAAGCTCGCGCAGTTTCTTTAGTCTCCTTTGTTTGGGGCAGCTTCCATATTGAGCTCTTCAGGAGGATCAGACAGCTTCTAATCTTCTTTCATTTTTGAGTCCAAATAAGTCATAATTCAGCACATTGTTGTTGAATTAGTCCTTACTGGTCTGTTTGTGTTATTGCTCAAATACATGACTTCATGTCGTTGAAAGGGACGGGTTGAACGGGGTACGCCATTCTGCGTTTTAACTGTCTGTGTCAGTGACGTGTGTGTGTGTGTGTGTGTGTGTGTGTGTGTGTGTGTGTGTGTGCTGCGCGCGCACAGTTACTCAGCGACATGTTGTTAGTATGGTTTATCTGACTCATTGTACCAACTCTGTACCATGTTGCAGTGGATGCGGATTGATAGCTGCTCACTTTTACTATCAATCACAACGTATTGTGAGTTGTGTGTGGTGTGTGTGTGTGTGTGTTGTGTGTGTGGTGTGTGTGTGTCTGTGTGTGTGTGTGTGTGTGGTGTGTGTGTGTGCGCTGTGGGGTTGTTCCTGTGGCTCTGATTGACTCAGCAAGCCTGTATGTGGCTTCTGTTGACTTCCTGTCAAAGCAGATGGACTGAGTTTTCACTTCCTTCTTCAGAACCGCAGTTCATCAGGTGCGTTAGTACGTTGGTGTGTGTGTGGTGTGTGATGTGTGTGTGTGTGTGTGTGTGTCATAACCGAGCTGCATAACGTGCATTGTGACCTTTCTTTGTATGAGTGTCGCAAAATTACTGGTGCGTATTACGTTCAAGTTCAGTCGTTTGAGAGTCACAAAGTTTAAGAATTACTGAGTGGAGTTGACAGTTTAATCCTCCAATTCATGGAAACATTTATTTACACTTGCGGCCCACATGCATGTCTCAACGGCACTACGCTGGGCCACCTTAACAGGCTGCACAACAAATTCAAGCATAACCAACCTTCTTTATATTGAATCATTAATCTGTTTACATATTTAGAACCACACGCAGATGCTCAGAGAAACAGTAAAAGTTATAAAAAAAAAAGAGGAGAGGTGTTTTAGTGAGGAGCAGAAGTCTGAATGAACTTGACACAACAGCGCCGCGGGCTTCGACACATTTCCATTTGCTTTGTAATTTTTCACGTGAGATGATGCTTTTAAGCTAGCCTCACGAGCTGATGAATGACCTCGTTTTAGTTCCAAAGAGACCCATGAGGGGTATTTCCCAAAGTCTGACTTGACCCGTGCATTCTAAAGTCCTCCGCAGTCATGCCGCCAGCACTGCTGCAGATGCGCCGAGCTGCAATTGACCGAATACCTCACTGGAGTCTGCTTGTTACTGCAAAAGCTTGTCAGCAATGTCGATGGTTAACCTTCTAATTACCAAACTACGTGACTTCATTTTGCTCATAGGTGTAAGAGTATGTCAGTAGTGTGGGAAACTTTCAAGCGATCATAAGATAAGTAAGGAAACCTTTTAAAATGCATCAACGCACTTTAAAACTTTTAATCAAGTATTCCAGTGTCGTCACTTCGTGTAGTAAACTTGTTATAAGTCATCACCTGCCCACCGCAGAATCACTTCTGAACTCAGTCCCACCTTTTTCTCATGACTCTCTTGGCCCCGTCCTCACTTCACACTACCTGTATTCACATATGCACATGCAACCGCATCTCTCTCTCCCACCATCACCATCTTTTCGCTCTTTTATTCATTGCCATTATTTTGAGGAGGTGTGGGGGGTTGATGGGGCAGGAAACGTGAGGCAGGAAGCGAAGATCAGATTGTTCCTGTTTTGCTGTCTCTAAACTCTTGTAACTTGACGGAAGCCAGGAGGAACTGTGTGTGTGTGTGTGTGTGTGTGTGTGTGTGTGTGTGTGTGTGTGTGTGTGTGTGTGAACCCACTGCAGAAAAATAGGATACGAAGAGACAAAGGCCTATTGTCTGTGCCCACACACTGCACAAACATGCACATGCTGACACAATGATATAATACGTAAATACCTACAGTAGTGCAAACCGCGTCGCTCTCAGGTGCCGAATCCATTTCACCTTCTCTAAGGACACGAGTTGAGTCTCTTAAAGAGAAAAATAATATTAAAAATGGAAGAAGCGCCATGTTTTGAATAGAATTCCTGAAAGAAGTCAAACGGATGTTAACAGCTGCTCTCAATTTTAATAAAACGTGTTCTCTGCTAACAATAACACGAAAGGCAAATGAAAAAAATCAGAAAATCATCTTCAAAAAAGTAACAATAAACTCAATGACCTAGTAATTTTCTAATAGATTTCTAATCTACAAATATATAGAGATCATATTAGACTTTGCATTAGGATAAAGTGGTTGTTAAATGAGAACCTCAACAATCATTGGCAGGTTTTGCTCTTTGCTTAAACTGGAGGAATTGAAGGTTTCGTATCATCAGTGCTGCCATAAATATCGTCACCGTAGAAATCCTATGAGAGCAGAGAGCTGAAAGAAATATCACTCTGGTTTTTGCCTGCAAAGCAACTGAAGGAAACTTTGACACGGAGACATTTTGTTGCTGAAACTCTGCAGCCTGCATTGAAACGTAATGCCACAGACAGCTGCTGGATGATGCTCTTGGTTGTGTTTTGTTTCTTTATTTGTATGTTTCAAATGTGAATCTGACAAAAGGTGGATGTGGGGAAAGTCTCCAGGTTCATTGGTACCAGTGTGTGGTGAGGGATTGTTATGCGTCCATCACTTCTACTCAGCAGTAAGTGGAAATGTCCACAGATTTCTGTTATCGTATTAATCCACACCCTGTGGTCTAAAGTGTTACAGTTCAAAAGCACACTTAGAAGTTGTACTTTTGAACACCTGACAACTTCTGAGTGTCAGGTGTGGTTAGTGCCTTTGTCATCACACGGTACCCAACAGTTAGGAAAAGTACGGTACGCTTTTTTCTCACAGAACAAAGACGAACATGCCGTAGATGAACTACTGGAGATAGATCAGATTGGTTTCTAGATAACTGTTAAGTGATTTATGCAATAAGTCGGACAACTAGGTGAAAAGAGTATGTGTTGGAATCATAAAATAATGTGAATTTAACTCAAGGCAATGGTGGGACAATCAAGTCGAGACATCGCCCAAAGGTAGTCTTTCACATGTGTGCATATATCAGATCAGTGCAGATAGTCTGCTCAGATGTATTTTCACTTCTGGAAAGTGAAGATGCTGCCACGCAGGTAGCAGGACGCGTGACGTCAACTTGCAAATACCTGGGCTGTTCTCACACAGGAGCATCAGATATGTTACGCAGCTTACAGCAGGTAGCAGGTTAAAAATAATTTAATGTCCCCATTCTCACTTGAAAAAGAAGACAAAGTGAGTACATTGAAAGATGTTGTAAATATATTGGGGTTTAAATCAGTTTTTATGCACACAGTGTTTAAAAGCTGTGCTACTGTCCACTCTTAAGGCTTCGGAGTCTTTTGGCGTTACAGTTATTGAGCTCAGTGACGAAAACGCATTGTTTTCACAGAGCCATTATCACGTCACAGTCACCAATGGGTTGTTTGAGATCCGCATTCACATGTGCTGAGAAATTCCAAATAATAGCGAGCCACTGACCCAAAGCAGCTGTCGTGTGTTATGGTGTCATAACAGAGTCAGGAAATATTATATCCCATTAGTAACGCACTTAGCTGTGAGAACCTCGCGGAGGTATGACCTGATTTCCTCGTCAAGCCGACCTCTGTGATGAAATGCTGTCATACAGGATATATGTGAGGCAAAGGGCTCGTGAACTCTCCAGACCTTAGTCGCATACACACCGCTTGTGTCTCAGTTTGGCCGATTAGCAGTGTGGAAAGGTGTCATTGAGATGACTTTTAAATCGTAATGTGCTTTTCCATTGTGTAAGTGCTTTCTTATAAAGCGGA